CTGCTGTGGTGGTCCCCTCCAGCCGGACCTGAGCTCTGCGTTCAGTGAGGAAACTGTCAATGAGCTGCAGCAGCTCGCGTGGCCACCCCTGCTGCGCCATCCGCTGAAGCAGCCGCCTGCGCAGCACAGCATCAAAGGCACCCTGCACATCCATTGTGACCATGGACACTTCTTTGTTTTGTGCGAAGGCTGCCTCCACCTCATGAGTGAAAGCAGCTACCAGGTCCATTGCAGATCGTCTGGGCAGCGCCCCCCCATGCTGTGGGCTGACTATGCCGTGAATGAGTGCCGTGTACGCCAGTCGCCTTGCAATGATGCGTTCCAGCCCTTTGGAGATTACTGAAAGCAGGGCAATGGGCCTCCAGGAGCGGACTGAGCTTCTATCTCTCTTACCCACCTTGGGTATCATTGCCACCTCTGCCAGTTTCCAGGCTCGTGGGAAGTGGCAGAGCCGGAGGCAGCAGTTGTATAGCTGCTGTATAAAGAGGGACACATGCTGCCAGCATGCTTTGAGCATCCGCACTGTGATTCCATCCGTGCCTGGGGAGGTGCTCTGTACCCCAATGGTGTTGCGCTCCACCTCCTCCATCCCAACCCGGGGGTTCCAGGGCAGGTTCCCCATGCCGCTCCAGTGCTCATCATCCAGTGGGTCATACTCCAGATCATCAGCTGAGTTGTATCGCTTCAGAATTGCTTGTTGAAGTGCCTCAGCTTTGGCGGCTGTCTCTTCTATGACCTGATCCCCAATCACCAGAGGGGGTGCTCTGAGGTTGGGTTCCAGCTTATGCCATGCCACCACCCGGTACAGGTCTCTACCATCTCTGGCCTCATTGATCACCTGCCTCCAGTATGCACGCTTGGCCTTGCGCACTGCATCCTTGAACTGGTGCTTCGCGGCCTCTGTCTGGTGAGTGGTGAGCTCTCGGTGCGCTCTTCGGCAGTCTGCTGTCCACCAGGGGGCTGTGGTCCGCCCTTGTTGAGCTGGCTTACTGACTGCCTGAGCCGCAGCCAGAAGACTCTGAGTGAAGTGCTGGGCCAGATCATCAAGCTGTGCCACATTTCCAACCCCCTCTGGGCAAGGCATGTCCACCATGAGACCTCTGACAAGATCTGCAAAGGGCTCCAGCTGAGAGTCTGTGATCTTGATCCGAGCATCACTCAGCTGTGTTTGAGGTGTTGTTGGCAGCATAGTGATCATAGACTGGTGATCTGAGCCGCAGTGTAGATCTTGACGCACTGTAGTGGAAGCAAAGGCCACATTGGAGAAGGTGAGATCAATCACATGACCTGCTGCATGAGTCGGAACCCCTATCTCTCCCACAAAGTCCATCCCATGTTCACTGGCCCATTGGACAAGCTCCCCGCCCCGGTGCAGATTCACTGCCCCTGGTTCAAAGGCATCATGCCGTACGTTGATATCCCCACCTATCAGACAGCGGGCTGGTGGGCTCAGATTGGTCAGATAGTCCATGACTGCGTCTGTCCCAGGCTGTCTGTACACATTGAGAATGTGGCAGCCATTTACACTGACCCATAGCAGATCCCTGCTTTGCACAGACCGGTGTTGCTGTGCCCTTGTCTTTGAGCCCTTGCGTACATATGTCATGACCCGGGGCCTCTCCTCCTCTCGCTGCTCCGGGTTAGTGTCATCCCAGCGGTCTATAGGCGCAAAGCACTCATACGCTGGGTGGTTAGAAGTCTTGGTGCCAGGGTGTGTGTATGGCTCCTGTATACAGACCACTTCACAGCCCTGCTCGAAAGCAAGCTGCAGAGCTGCTGTGTGACAGGGGGCTGCCCTGGCCGTATTTGCCCAGAAGACCTGCAGGGGGCGATTTTCCTGCTGGTTGTTCCTGCGGCGCCAGCCGCGTCGCTGGTGTTGGTGTCCTAGCATGAGGAGTCACTTGGTGAGCTGCTGCCGAAGTCCACCTGCGGGATGAGGTTGAAGGCCTCCAGACCTGCCATCTGCATGCTGGAGTCAGACTGTTCTTTAGCTGCTTGGCTGTGCTGCCGCACTGCTGTGCGAGCTGAGCGTCGCCTGGTGCGGGCCATCTGCCAGGTGGCACCCTCCTCACTGATGGAACTCTGAGTCGCCGCCCGCTTGCGGGGTGCTAGCCCAGCGGGCTGTGTTGACTGGGTTGACTGAGCGGTTGGTGTAGGCACCACCACTGCGACCATTGGTGCTGGCTGTGCTGGCGGCGGTTGCCGCTCCTGAGCATCCCTGTGGCACCTGTCGCCAAGGCGGCGAACAGCTGCTAGCTCTTTTTGAGTTAGGCGCCTGAGGGTGCCATTCACGCGCCTGGGTGCGGCAGGGCAGTGCTGATGCCCAGCTGGGTAGGGTTGGCAGCAGTTGGCACATCTTGGCGCTCTCTTGCACTCCGCGCCTGTTGGCCCCTCATGCTGGCTTGTGGGCTCACTGCAGTTGGAGCATCTTGCCAGTCGCGCACACTTTGGTGGGTGGCAGAACCCCTGGCATCCTGGGTTATGTCTCACTGTCAAAGGCCGTTTCTCAATCAGCCTGGCCCTCTCACTGGCATTGAAGAGTGAGAAGCCTTTTACCGGGGCAAGGAAGGAGACAATCCATGTAATCTTCCCTGTCTTGGGGTTCACCCCATGACGCGAGGGTCGACAGCTCACTGGCTTTACCTTTGCCTGAGCCAGAACCTCATCTTGTCTGTGGGGATTCTTGCCCCTTCCCAGTCCTGGACAAATTCTGGGACCCCTGGGACAGCATAATTGTACCACCGCTCTGGTAGCCGGATCTCCGTGGCGCCAAGGACTTCACAGAGAGTAGCCACTGCCTTCTCAGTGGTCAGAGCGTCGCGTATGCCTCTGTCGCTTGGTGTGATCGCCCAACCTGTCCTGGTGGGCTCCACCTTCGGCACATTGGCCACATCCCCCACCCCCTGAATGTTTGCAGCGATTGCCTGCCGCACAGCATATGGCTGTAGCCGGGCGACCCGTTTCTCTGGCTGGAGGGTGACGAGGACTCGTGGGTCCTCCTGCTGTTTTGTGCCCCCTGTGGGGCCCCCTGGCTGACTGGCGCTTTTGGGCTGCAGGCTAGCTCCACTAGCCCTGCCTGCCGAGGAAGCCGCAGTCTTGGCAGGGGCAACCCCAGGGAGGGCAGAGTTTTTCCCCCTCTGAGCAACACCCGCCCAGGTAGTCGGCTCCCTCGCAGCTGTCTTTGCTGCATTTGGCTGCGGATGAGTATCCGGGGCAGCACCCCCTCTCAGAATTGATGCTGCATTCAGATCTGCTGTCACATACTTGACAAACCTCTCACAGAAGATTCGGGCAAAGTTCTGACTGACTGACTGCTTCTCCCCCTCAACCCAGCTGTCCAGAGTCCTTGCCAATCTGATGAGAGCCTTCTGCTGCAGGTTCTGTTGCTGAGCCTCCTCAAACTGCTTCTGCAGCCGAGAGGTGGCCGTGGGGATGCTGTCGCTGGCTCCTTTGAGGACTGGGGGAGGCATTGTGACAGTCTTCCTCTGCCTCTTGCCAGCCTTTCCAGCGACAAAATTGGCCGGTGACTCCGGCTCCAGTGGCCTGGTGTAGGCCGTTTCGATGTCCTTGGGCGGACGGGAGGGCGTTGAGGGCTCCATGACCACTCAACCTGTGCAGTACACACACGTAGAGAGATCGCAGAGGGCGTGCGATGATATTGAACGGGTTGGAGGGTTAAAATTATACGAAAAACAGTTGGAAAAGTGGAAAATTCAAATGTACCCCTACGTTCGTGGGTGATATTATTATGATGAAGGGCTAGGGGGCAGTTATTTCTTTACCTTTTTTACTTTTCTTTACAAATTCGGTGTAGTGGTACTTGCTTTCAGGGCGATTTTTGTATGTAGCTGCGTGTACTATTTCTATAGGGAGTGGGGGTGTGAGACAACCACGTGTCTCGTGTAACGCTCCAGGGCTCTTACTCTATATAAAATGGTCCACTTAGCTAGCAATTAATCAATCAAGCTTTTCACCTCTCACAGATCCTGCGATGCCACGTCTTAGGGAAATTATCTGTTCTGATCTAGCATTGCTTGCCTGCTTCGGCCTAGCTCTTAATGCGGGGCACCTTAATGCGGGTTTCTTACAGAAGACAGCTGGTTGTCCGGGCGGCCACCGCACGCGATGAACCCTACATACACAGTAGTTAGCTAGCTCCGACCAACAACAATAACAAACTTAACCATCCCACAGAGTATATGATATGTGAATGGTGTTGATTGACGTTGTTTCATTGGCCATTTTAAGGCTCAGAATTTTGTCCAGAAAAGTCTCATCTCCACTTCCAACAAAACCTTGGAACCAATTGTAGGAGGATAACGTTCGTTGATTTTACTACTCCGTAAACTAACTACGCGAGAGCAATACAATATGTTGGGGGGCACGTGATAGGGTAGCCGTAGTACCCCCTAACACCCCCCCGTGCTACGGCGCCGCCAATGCACTTGCCGCCCGGGGGCCCCCTTTGCTCAATTCTTCCAAAAACGCAATAACAATTAATTACAAGATTTGGACCCTGATTTCCTCTTTGGGAATAGGTGCCCGTACAGCAATAACTGTAAAAAACAGGATAACACAAGCAAAATTCCATAATCGCTGTACCACCATTACCTTCAACCTTCTTTGTCAATCTCCATTAACCCAATTCTTTTAACAAATTCTTCAAAAGCAGGCCTTGCCAGTGGCTTGGTGAGGCCGTCAGCTATATTGGCCGTAGAACCAACATGTTCCATCATAATTTCACCTTTTTCAACCAAATTGCGGAGGATATGGTATCTAATTTCAATATGGCGCGACCTTCTTGTTAAGGATTCTCCTTTCACTAGATTTATCGCCCCCTTGTTGTCAACTCGCAGGTTTGAGCATATCTTCGCTTTCCCCTCTACCAATCCAGCATCATATAACATGTCATTCAGCCAGATCACTTCACACACTGCCTCACTTGCCACTATATACTCTGCCTCAGTGGTTGATTTTGCAACTGAGGTCTGCCGTTGCGATCACCACGAGATTGGTGCTCCGTTTAGCATGATAATGTAACCCGTAGTTGACTTGTATTGGGGGTCCGCCCCTGCCCAATCTGAGTCGCTGTACACGACAGGATTGAGTCCCTCAACCATCTCCTTCTTGTATAGGATACCGTGATCCTTCGTTTTCTTGACATAGTGTAGGACATGTTTTAATGCCGCCCAGCATTCCTTGTGCGGACGCGAGTTGAAACGTGAGAGGTAGTTGACCGCGAATGCTAAATCTGGCCTGCTGCTTGATACCAAATACTGCAGTGATCCTAAACCTTGATGATATCTAGTAGCAGTAAAATCGTCATCTAATCCGCTATCTTCATCTGGCGAGAATTCTAGGCGTATGCCGGTCACCATCGATGTGCTGGCCGGGTTGACCTTGTCCATTCCAAAATCCTCAAGAATCTCATTGATATAACGGTTCTGAGTAACTGCTAGGTCGCTGTTCGCTTGACGTCTCACTTCCATCTCAAGGTAGGGCTTGTTCTCTTCAACATCCTTTGTCTCAAACCTCTTTGCAATCTCTGCCAGTACCCAGTTCAATTGCTGTTCTTGGGGTCCTGTTACCCGACAGTCATCGACGTGCAATGTCAGGTAGATCTTGCGAGTAGGGTGATATAAGAATCCGCCATCGTATGGTGAGATTTTGAACCCTAGGGTGGTGAGGTGCTCCGTCACAAGGAAGTACCACACCCTTGCAGCTTGCTTCATCCCGTAAAGGCTCTGGCGGAGCAGGCCAACTAGGCCCCCCCTGCTGTGCTTAATCCCTGTAGGCAGTTGCATATATACAATCTCGTGTTGTGGCAGTATGCCGTTCAAGAACGCGGAGACATAGTCGATCGCCTTGGCTTTCCACCCCTTTGCTGCTGAAATCGCGAATAAGCTCCGGGATGTGGGTCCTGATACCACCGCAGCGTACGACTTTGTATAGTGGACTCCTTGCTGTTGAAGGAATCCCCTAACCACCCAGCGAGCTCTAAACCGGATTGTCTCTCCCTATCGTTCAATTTTCAATCAAACATCCACTTGTCAGTTAAGATATCCATGTCTGAGATCTTCTCAACAACAATATACATCTTCTTCTTCTCAAACATGCTGACCTCTCTTCTCATTGCCTCATACCAGTAGTCCCAATCAGGGCTCCTTTTGGCTTCCGCCACAGTAGTTGGGCGGTCAGTTAGAGTACTCAGGACAGGATCATTCTCATTGACAGAGTCCTCTAATTCATCATTCTCAACAAGTTCTGTCTCATTATCTAGAAGATAGGCTGGATCCACTGCATCCTCTAGTTCTCCATTGACAATCATCTTTAAAACATCAGATTTCACCTTTGCTAGACATTGTAGAAGGCAGTGTTGCCATCCATCAGCAGCATCTAACACATCCAATTCTTCTGATAGTTCACTTGATTGTTTCACCATGTTCATAGGCGCAGTTTCACCCTTGTCTAGTCCTTCATCAAAATACAACATCTCGTGCGATCTCAAGGCGACGATTGATTGAGTCCCAGATACGATATTGATGCAGTCCTTGATAGCCAACTAATCACCATTCCTTGCCATCAGTTCTATCTGCAAGCTTATCAGTAATCTTAAGGTTTTTCTTGTAGACCTTGCACCCCCACCTGCGTATCCAATGGGCAGTAGGTTGCACCCCAGTCCATGCCTCAAATGGCGTAAGTGGAACTTCTCGCTTGCATCTGTATATCTTGGTCGATGTTGGGGACATGTTGATCATCATGATCGCGGCTTGCATCACCTCACCCCACAACTCCTTAGCCAATCCACTATCAAACAGAAGGCTTCTTGTCTTTTCTGCAACAATTCTGTTGACGCATTCTGCAGGGCTGTTCGATTGCGGTGTGTCAGGTGTAGTTGTTTCGTATGCAATTCCTCTGCTCTGACAGTAGGCCTTCAGATCCTGGCCTTTAAACTCACTGCCATCATTTCAGTGTAGAGTCCCTACACAGCGTTGCGTAGTTGCTTCAATGCCTGTGATGAAATTCATCAACTTCGCAGTAGATTCACCTTTTGACATCATTAAGATTGCCCACTGGTATCTCGTAGCATCATCTGTTATCCCTAGCCAGTAGCTAGCACCCCCCCTAGTGGGTAGATCGTTCCCATCAAAAAGTGTTTTTCCACCCCCTGCTAGGTCAATGAAGAATCTCATCGCTGGCTTGGTGGTCCGGGCCATGGGTGCAAAGGTTGGATGTGTCATCTTTGCTTGGACACAGATCTTGCAAAATGGTAAAGCTCACTGATCAATGATTCTCATTCCTAGATGTGGATCTGCCGCCATTCTAGAGATATCTGCAGGGTTAAGATGCTCTAGCTTTTGATGCCACTGTGCCATTGTTAGTTCTACAACTTTTATGTCGTTGTTGGGCAGTGCCAATATGGCATCACTTGGGTTGTCATCCACCACAGCGTTGACAGGTTCGAATTTGCCGTTGGATAGGGCGAATCGGATTAGATCCTTGAAGGTAGGCGGTTTCTCCACCTCGTAGATATCATTCTCATTCAACTTCGCCGTGAAGGAGAACGTTCTATCCGGGGACATAAAGAGTACAGCGTGGTTGCTACCATACGCCAACTGCTTGAAGGTAAAGCCCTGGCGTACGAGCTTACCCATGCTCATGAGGTTCACTTCCAATTTCGGGACGTAGCGGATGCCACTTAGCAGCATATCCGCCCCCTCAACAGCGATCTTCGTGTCACCGATCACTGCTGCAGGCACTACCATTCCATCTGCCATCTCCAGTTTGACAATATATTTCTGGGGCCTTGCCACGACAAGATCCTTATGAGGTGTTGCGTGGGCACCCACACCTGAGTCCAAGATCCAGGTATCTCTTGTGGGCTTTTGGCCGCTCATGTAGGCCTTATCTGATATACAGAATACTTGTTCCACGATGTTATGAACAGAAGCAGTGCCAGCATCGGCATCATCCTTGTTCTTATCTCTATTGACGTTGTTGAGATTGGAGGGACGCTTCTCTGGGTATTTCCTTCAGCAATCATTTTGAATATGACCAGTTCTCTGACAGTGGAAGCAGGTCCGTATCTCACTGCCCTTCTTGTCAGACTTGAAGTTCTTCTCCTTCTCTTTATCTTTATCCTTGCCTCTCTTATCCTTCTTGTCGGATCTGGAGTCCTGCGTGTTGTTGGCAGGGCTCTTAGACATGTCAGCATTTGATTCATCCATCGTTGATAGTCGTAGAAGAATATCGCGACAAAGGGTCATGAAATCATCCTCTAAAAGTTGGGCGTTATCTTTCTCAACCTGATCCATACGGTTTTTGATGAATGAAGCCCATCCCTTGCTCACGCCAGTAAGTAGGCAGTCAAAAAACATGAAATCTTCGACCTTATATCCTAGGCGGATATATTCAGTCCTTATAGCAATCAAGCGTTTGATAAACGCGCGATCAGAACCCTTTGACTTGGCTGTCATGCTTGTCATCTTCTTATACAACCTTATCCTCAGAACAGCAGGCCTCTCAGCGAAGTTGTCTTCTAAGATAGATCATAGAGAATATGCAGATAGTTCAGAATCCTTGAGCACAGTAAAATGAGATTTCATCTGTGAGGCAACTGAGGACCATATGTAGTTGTATAGCCACACATTGCGTTATTTCCAAAATCGTTGCATATCAGTGCTGGTGTTATCTTCAGGGCCAGTTTGCTTCTCCTCAAGGATATCATCAGTCTCAGATTGCCTCGCTGTAAGAAGGATCTCCTCTTTCCACATGGAGTAGTTTCCAGATCCAGTTAGTACAACTGGCTTCCTTATGACTCTCACTTGATCATGAAACTCATTAAGGACCTTCACAATAGCAGATGTTCTGCCTTTCTTCTGCAGATAGTTTGCTAGATCTGCACTGATGCTCTCATCACTAGCAGAGGGTTCACCTCTACTTGCTTTCATCTGCTGGACTTCATATTGGAGTCTCACGATCTCCAATCTCATGCGAGTTTCCTCACTCACGTCATCACGGCTACCAGAGCCACCCGCGTTATCCGACATCTTGTTGTCATTAATTGGGTCTTCATATTCGATATTCGACTCGTTCGATTCTTCTTCGATTGTCTCGTCAGGCTCAAATGCCTCTGGTGCTATCACCCTTCTGTTGGTTGCAGGTGTTGGTAGACCTGCGTCCAGTCCTTCTTGATGTGCCTCCGGTGTTTGAGGACTTCTTCTTCTACGCGTCGTCACGTAGTCCTTCGTTAAATCAGGCGTTCCACCCGATCTCAGATTAACCATTAGGTTCAAATCACTTAACAAGCCGTCCAGGCACGCTTTTAACGATGTGTGGAGACGTAGTTAGCACGTTATTTCGCAGCTTCTTCGTAGCTTATAAGGGCCATAACCTGCAGGAGGATAACGTTCGTTGTTTTTACTAAACTAACTACGCGAGAGCAATACAATATGTTGGGGGGCACGTGATAGGGTAGCCGTACTACCCCCTAACACCAATCTCACACACGTGACCGACTTATTCTCGGCTAGCTTCACTCATGAAGATCGCACCAAACGTCTTCGAGACAACCTTGGGCCTCATATTCACGACCACATCCTTCATTGAAGCGTGTACCATGGCGCCCCATTCTCCCAAACCATCATCTGCTGGCGTTTTGCCTATCTCTCCGTCGGCCGTTCAGAGAGGATCATCGAACAAACCAAGTCCCAAGCCTGCGGCACCTCAGTTGAAGGTACTTATTCGAAGGCTTCCGCCTGGTCTAACGGCCCAGGAATTTGTAGCAGTCCTGGGCGATGAGTGGAAGGTCGGGAATGGTAAAGTTGATTGGTTTCGCTTCAAGGAAGGAAAGGATTTTAAAGAGTGTGTCTTCCTATATTTTCTTCCTCTGCGCAAGGGTAACGGGATGGAATGAATAACAACAACCCATGATGCTAGCCCGGCAAAACCTTCTCGACCTACGAGGGCATATCTACGTGTTACATCTATACCGCTAGTTGACGAATTATCCGAAAAGGTTCGGGTATCCGCATTTCAGGATGGACGGAATACAAGCCGCGATCCTATACTCATTGGGCCACCTTCACTTGAATATGCCCCTTATCCCCGTGTTCCCGGAAGCAGGGTTCGGAAGGATGGCCGCCAGGGAACAATAGACCTGGATTCCGACTTCATCACATTCCTTGAGAGCCTAACCAATCCCGTCACCAAATCTGTTGCTGATATTGCAGCCGATGATACGAAAGAGGAGAAACCAGCAATAACACCATTAATCCAATTTTTAAAGGAGAAAAGGGCAAACAAGGGCAAGGAAACTAGTTCTCCAGCTAGATCTTCACGCCACAGTCGCGGCGAGGCGAGGGAAGGGAAGGACGCCAAGGTGGAACGGGTCCATGCTAGGAAGTTGTTAAGCCGGGCAGAAAAGGCTACGCCTTCACCGGGAGACCGACAGTCGAAAATCGAGAGGGCTACCAAGCAAGCCATTAAAGCAGTTAACAAACAGACTGCTAGCCAAATGTCAAAGAAACCACGGAAGGCAAGTGAATCGCTGTCGCCAAAGGAAGAACGGCCACCCCCGACAGTACTCGCTCCAGAGCGCAGGCGAGAGCGAGGAAGTATGAGTGCTGCCACAAAAATTCTACGACGGGACCTTGGGCTTGCTCCGGCTGCTCCACGCAGAAGGGCCGAGAAGCTAGCTAACGGCGCAACCACAGAACCACCACTTACAGGTGAGGCTGACGGGGCTACTGTGCATTCGAATGAGGATGGCAGCAAACCAACTTCCACAAAAGCCAGCAAAGAAGCTGAATCTACCAGGAAACCTGCACTTGCGAAACAGGCAAAGGGCGCACTACAATCCAGCGCTGTGACGGGCCGTAATGTGAGCAAATCGGCAAACAGACCAGTGACCCCAACAACGGTTACCGTATCATCGGGATCCAAGCACAATCCTACATCAGCCTCTGCACAGGCGGCTTCTCATTCTACCGCTACACAAGCCTTTTTGAAACATGCTAATCCATCCCAAGGGGTGACTGAGGAACTTCTTGTGGCTGGCTTTGCTACGTTTGGGAAAGTCGTGAAGGTGGAGATAGACAAGAAGAAAGGTTTTGGGTATGTGGACTTTGCTGAACCAGGGGGGTTGGCCAAGGCTATCCAAGCCAGTCCCGTCCAGATAGCACAAAGCCAAGTTGTAGTACTGGAGAGAAAATCGGGAGCTGCTGTTGCACAGGCAAGGGTGAATGCCAGCAATCGGCCGAGCCAATCTACCATGGGTTCTGCTCCACGGGTTGTGTCTGGTGGTGGAGGACAAACGCCTTCACGACCGACTCGTCGGGGGAATAGAGGCAAGGGCGGGTCTAAGGAAACCGGAGTGGGTGGAGGAAATGCTGGTAGCAATGCTGGTGGGGGAAATAAAATCGGCACCTCTAAATGACGAAGAGCGACAACATTCATATCTAGTACTTTAACTTTATTATAAGATATAAAATGATGTTATCGTACTAACGCGAGGATAGTTGAGATTCACCTATTGCGATATAGGAATATACATAACGTAGGTCGTTGGGATTAATTCCCCATAGTACAAGAGGAAAAATTTCTTGCTCCACGACCTCAGTAATGGACCGTCAACGGCACCGTAATGAGATTTACAAGAATGAACAGAGTAGCGCAAGACGAAACGAATTTTCCTGAAATTGAATTCAAATTTCAAATGTTTTCTCTATACGGAGTACGGTGACATAAAATGTGCTAGCTACAGGCCTGACAAACTCATGAAAAACCCCGATAGATAAAATCAGAAGTAGCAGATGGGGGAAGAAATAGCGTAGGACCTTTCAGACCTCCACAGTGCCCACCAAACCAGGCCGACCGAAGTCAAGACGCCAGGGCAAGGTCAAGATCATCACCACTCCCTTGATCGAGACAAGTATACGAAACAGTGGCCGAAGCCTCCAGCATCATATAACCCGTAGCGATGCGGACGAGAGTATAACAGGTTTCACTCTAGGGCACTGTGGACATGGTGGTCATCAGCAAGGTTGGGGATTCAGTCGCTAATGCGAAAAAATCAGGTGGGACGATTTACTATAGAAATGATTCTCTGTAGATGGGTGGATTAGCAACAGTGCCATTTTACAGGGCAGGTCCGGAAAATTGAACAAACGAAGGGGTTGCTTACTTGAAGTAAAGTCGACTGGTTTTCAGGAAGAGGCGCGGGAAGGAGGACGTTTATATACTTTTCGCAACAAACACTAGCCTCACACTAGGCGTAAGCGAGTTCCATATTAGGCAATTGCGGAGGGTCGCACTGAGTTAGGGTTTTGTACTGTACATCATGTGGCTAAAAATTTTGTTGGACGTCCTACATGTTAGGCCACTAGGGCAAAAGAGCTGAATCACCACCAGTGCCATGCTGGTAGTAGAGGGGAACGAACCAATCCAAACCCCCAACAGATTTTATCTATCTACTCCGTAGTGGCTCGCGGCAATAATGGATCCATCCATTTGATGTTGTGGTGGGTCACGTGGGATAGGGGCTTGTGTCGGACCTCTAACAACACTTGTGAAGGGGTCAAATAATATTATATAATCAGGAATAGTTAACTAACTAACGTAATCGATAAGCGAGCGAGCCACATAAGCAAGCGAGCCACTTCCCACCTGCCATACAACAAGAATGCTTTTCAACAAAAATATCAACCACTCAAAGAAATAAAGTCTCTGCTCAAGAAGGAAGGCTTCTTTTAGCCATTCAAGCACTTAAAAATGATCAAATTTCAAGCATACGAGCTGCAGCAAAGCTGTATGATGTCCCTCGCTCAACCCTCACTCACCGTGTCTCTGGTCGTACAGCACGCGTGGACATTCCCCCAAAGAACCGAAAACTTAGCCTTACAGAAGAAGAATCACTTGTTCAATGGATTCTAGCCATGGATGAGCGAGGTCAGCCACCCCGGGTTGCAGCTGTACGAGAAATGGCCAATCTCCTTCTTGCCAGTCGAGGAATCAACCCCTCACCCACAGTGGGTGAATGCTGGGTACGAAACTTTGTCAATCGCTATGAAGAGCTGAAATCCAAGTTCTCCCGCAAGTACGACCATCAACGTGCACTATGTGAGGATCCTGAGGTTATCCGTGGGTGGTTTAAGCTTGTACAAAACACCATTGCAAAGTATGGGATTCTGGAAGAGGATATCTACAACTTTGATGAGACAGGCTTTCAGATGGGGGTTATTGGGACTGTCAGAGTGGTGACTGGATCTGAAAGAGCTAGGAATCCCAAGCTTGTACAGCCTGGAGATCGGGAATGGGTGACTGTTATTGCTGGGGTCAATGCAATGGGCTGGGCTCTCCGTACAATGATTATCCTCAAGGGAAAGATGCATCAGTCCTCTTGGTATGAGACTGAAGGGCTGCCGCATGACTGGGTGATTGGAGTCAGTGAGAATGGCTGGACCACTGACCAGCTGGGCTTGTACTGGCTGAAAGAGGTGTTCAACAAGGAGACTCTACCCCGTACAAAGGGCAGATACCGACTGCTGATTCTAGACTGGCACCGAAGCCATGCCTCAGCTGAATTTGATCAATTCTGCTCTGAGAATCAGATCATTGCTCTCTACATGCCACCACATTCCTCTCATCTTCTTCAGCCACTGGATATTGGGTGCTTCTCCCCCTTGAAGACTGCATATGGACGACAGGTGGAGAATCAGATGCGGCTTGGGATCAATCATATTGACAAGGAGGAGTTTCTGGCCCTATATCCTGCAGCTCAGATGCAGGCTCTGACTGAGAACAACATCAAGAGCAGTTTCAGGGCAGCTGGGCTGGTTCCATACAATCCTGAGCAGGTTCTCTCGCGCCTTAATACCACAATGCATACCCCCACCCCACCTGGGACCTCTCATAGCTCTCAGGCCTCCTGGGCCACTGCTACACCACATAATATACACCAGCTAGAGCAGCAGACTAAGAAAGTTAAAGGATATATTAAGCACCGTACGCAGAGCCCACCCAGCCCAACTGATCGTGCCCTAAATCAGCTGGTCAAGGGATGTCAAATGGCAATGCATAGTGCTGCTATTCTAGCAGCTGAAAATAGGGAGTTAAGGGCTACAAATGCTAAACAAAAGAGAAAGCGAGAAAGAGGCCGTACATATGTAGCCCAAGAGGGAGCTTTGGGGGTGGAAGAAGGCTTGGATCGCGTACGAAGCATCAATGAATGGGAAAGAGGGGTGGTTGAGGCTGCTGAGTCCCAACCACGAAGACGTGCAGCACCACAGTGTAGTGTATGTGGGATTATTGGGCATACTGCCCGTACATGCTCTAAGCGTACAGGAAATAATTGATAATATCAGTTTGTTAATTTTGGGTTGTATTCAGGACTTGAAGAGCATTCTTGTTGTATGGCAGGTGGGAAGTGGCTCGCTTGCTTATGTGGCTCGCTCGCTTATCGATTACGTTATCTTCATAGAATGAACGTTGTTATGTATTAAAACTAACTAGCCGAGCAACAACTAAATAAGATTGGGGAGCACGTGATCTAGGGTAGCCGTAGTATCCACCTACACCCCCCCATGCTACGGCGCCGCCGAGTTCAAAACACCCGATCCACGCCTGCCCGGCCAAATCATCCATCCCCGTATTCCCCTTACACCCATCCTGGGCTGCAAAAAAAAAATCAATTAATCTCCGCCAATCCTAACTTCTCAATGAAATCAATGAATGTGGGCTTCGCCAAAGGCTTTGTAAATCTGTCTGCTTTATTGACAGTAGAATCAATGTGGAGGAGCTTTATCTCATCCTTTTCAACAAGTTCTTGAAGGATATGGTAGTGGATTTCTATATGTCTTGATTGTCTGGTTAGAGACTCCTTCTTTGTAAGATCGATGGCACTCTTATTGTCAACCTGCAGATTTGAGAAGATCTTTCCCTTTCCTTTCAGTAATCCGATGTCATACAGCATGTCATTGAGCCAGATCAATTTGCATGCAGCCTCACTAGCAGCAATATATTCAGCCTCCTAAATTCACCTCCGCCATTTCATTGTAAGATTCCAATCCAATGTTGAGTAGTTGCTTCAATTCCATCAATAAAGATCGTCAAGTGTGCAGTGGCCTCATTCTTTGATATCATAAAAATAATTCATCTGTAGCATGTAGTGTCATTTGTAATGCCCATTCAATAATTAGCTCCTCTTTGAGTAAGGAGGTTGGCTTCATCATATAGCATACAGCCGCCACCCACAAGGTCCATGAAAAATCTCATCACAGATTTGACAGTCCTTATCATCAGTGTGAATATTGAATGTGCTATTTTTGCCTGTACACAGATCTTGCAGAATGACAAAGCTCTGCCACTCTTGATTCTCATTTCTAAATGTGGACCTGCTGCTAATTTAGTAATATCTGTGGGGTTGAAATGGTCAAGCTTTTGATGCCATTGCAACATTGTGTGTTTAATAATTTTGATGTTTTTCTTTAGCAATGCTAGCAGGGGATCCTCTTTTCCCTCTGCAGGCTGTAAGATATTCACAGGTTCCAATTCATCATTAAGCATCATGAATTGAATCAGATCTCTAATTGTTGATAATTTTTCAAGAATGTAGATGTTCTTATCACTCAAATTAACAGTGAAACTAAATATTCTGTCAGAAAAGGTTAGCAAAATTGAATGAGTGTTTCTGTAGATTAATTGCTTATAAATATAACTCTGACATATGAGTTTTTCAAAACTCATAAAATTAACCTTCAATTTGAGAATGTAGTGGACATTCTGCAGTGGCAGATTCATTTTTTTTATTGATATATTCATCTTTTTTATAATTGTTGCAGAAGCTGTTAATCTGTCAGTCATCTTCAATATGACATTAACTTTCTGCAGCATTATTGATATGAGATCTTTGCAAGGCGTAGTGTGAGCTTCTGATTCAGAGTTTAGAATCCAGATATCTTTGCCAGTTTTATCAGTAGAATAAACCTTCTCTGTTATATGAAATACTTGCTCAATGACATTATGAACCGGCCCAGAGCCTATACCATTCTTATCTTTATCCTCACCTCCACCACAGCTAGTAGAGTGTTTTTTGGGAAATTTCAACCAGCAATTTATTTGAACATGGTCAATCATTTGACAATGATAATATGTTTTGACAGCATTATTACCTTTTTTCTCTGACTTAACAGAATTCTTATTCTTGTTTTCATAGATCTTCTCCTTCTTCTTATCCTTTTTATTCTTCTTATTGAACTCTTGAGCGTTATTCATAGAGGTCTTCCCATTCAAGATAGAAGGTTCATCAGCAGCTGGCAATTATAGAAGAATATTTCAATATGATTTCATGAAATCATTTTTAAATATTCTGATGTTTTTATCTTTCTCTATTGTGTTCATTCAGTTCTTTATAAAAAAAGGCCAACCTTTACTAACCTCTGTAAGAAGTCTGTTGAAAAACATAAAATCTTCAACATTATATTCTAAGCGGATATAATCAGTTCTAATTGTGATCAAACATTTGATAAATGCGTGATCAGAACCTTTTGATTTCAATATTATTTCAATTAATTTTTGAAACATACGAGTTCTGTGAACAGCAGACCTCTCAGTGAAATTATTTTTTATGACAAATTATAGAAAATAAGCAGATAATTGAGATTTCTTAAGTATAATAAAGTGAGATTTGGCCTGTGAGGTGATCACAGACCATATGTAGTTGTATAGTGAGATATTTCATTCTGATCAAAAACATTGCATATTCTTGCTGGCATCCTTGTCAGAACTAATTTCCTTGTCATCAAAAATATCATTCATTTCAGATTGCCTTACTGTGAGGAGGATCTCTTCTTTCTACATTGAGTAATTCACAAAGTCAATGAGTATGATAAACTTATTGATAGATCTTATTAAATCTCTGAATTCATCAAGAATCTTTATTATTACAGACATTCTATCTTTCTATTGAAGATAATTCATCAAATCTGTATTGAGTTTTTTATTACTGACAGAGGATTCATCTCTGCTTGCTTTCAATCATTCAATCTTGTGCTGAAGCTGAGTTATTTTTAATTTCATACAAGTTTTCTCACTTACAGAGTCAGAGCCAGCACTCTGACCATCTGTATTGCCTGACATCTCATTGATGCCTTCAATTGGATTCTCAAATTCTTTGTTTAATTCATTCGATTCATTCAATTTATTTTACTTGTTTGATTTGTCGATCATATTGTCTGGTTCAAAGGCATCAGAGGTTGTCTTGTGATTTGTCACTGGTGTTGGCAAGAGTCCTCTGAGCTCTGATGTTTCATTCTCAGAAGTTTGTTAATCATCTCACCTGCTTTTTGAAAAAATGTACTTCTGCATCAAATCAGGCGTTGAACTCAATCTGAGATTAACCATGGATTAAATTATCATAAGAGCGTCTAGGCACGCGTTAATGAAGTGTGGAGATGTAATTAACATGTTATTTTGCAGCTTTTCATTGCGTAGAGGGCACTCATAACCTCATAGAATGAACATTGTTATGTATTAAAACTAACTAGCCGAGTAACAACTAAATAAGATTGGGGAGCACGTGATCTAAGGTAGCCGTAGTATCCACCGACATATCTTTCAACCCCGCCCGGGTTACAGTTGAACGTGGTTTATTAAAAGTTGGACGTGGTTTAAAAAAAGTGGGTCTTAAAAATAAATCTTGCTCAGCTCTCACTCCCTCACTAAAATGCATACACACTAAACATCTTTTACACATCCTCACTATATTATTAATCAGCTCTCATTTAGTCATTCTACTTCAATATCTGAGACACTTCAATATCTGAAAAGCAGTTATAAGCTAGAATTAGTGATTAACATTGATTAAGAGATAGAGCTTTGAGAAATAAGATAAAATCACTGTGCCCAATGCATTTGAAGATGTGTGAGATATGTATGAGACATGACTAGTGTATGTAGTTTTAATGGGGAGGTTGACATGGTTTATGGTCAAAACCACGCCGAAGGTTATTCCGGCCCGAAAAATTAACCATGTTCAACTTTTTATTAACCACGTTCAACTGTACGCCCAACCCCGCCAGTTGACACTTGATTTAAATTTTCTTAGTTGAGCTCGTTAAATAACTAGTCAAAGGAAATTTATACCTGAATTTTACCTGCGCGCCTTCGTTTTCTCCAGGGACGGGAAATAATTTGTATCCGCTTGTTTGGCCGGAGTAGGCGATAGAACACATAACAGAATGGCTGGGGATGACTTACAGATATTTGCACAGCGTATTTATTGTATACCTATGTATTTAGTTCTGTGTGGTGTTGCTCACTATTTTTACAGGACTTCTCACTTCGTGGCATCGATATCGAATCCCCATCTTCTTTCTCGCAGCTGTGGTTTCCATCGTCATATGGCTATCCACACGATCTCATAAACGCAATACTCCATTGTCTGACTCTCTTTCTCCCTGTCAAAGCGAGAAGCAGAATCAAAATGACAAAGCTGAATCCTGTCGAGTGGAATTGTCCTCCAAGAATGACCCAGCAGCTGCCTTTTTTCCCAATAGCGATCATTCAGGGTCCTCCATTGAAAGCCAGGTTAGGCAAGCTAAGCAATCTGCCAATGGGCCTAAGAGGGTTCATGGAAGCAAGCCAGTGAAGAGAGGCGCCAATAACAGAACCAATCCTGGAGAACTATCACGGGATATTAACATCCAGCCTATGGTATTTTACGTCTCGTTGACTGGCTCTACTGAAGCATATGCCAAATCATTTTGCCATAGACTACAGAAAGCCACCCACGCATTAATAGAGAATCATAGTAAAACCGCCATCCTGACTCCGCAATTACACGACCTGTCGTATATCGAGCTCGACGACTACTTCATCACCGCTCCAAAACCGCCAGACTCCGCTCCGAATACTCGATTTTTTTACTGCATTTTGATCCCGACGTACAACATCGATACGATGATTAATACGTTTTTGGGGCACTTGGATGACACACATAATGATTTCCGCATCGATACGTCGTCCCTGTCGGCGCTAGCTGGGTATTCTGTTTTTGGCTTTGGCGATCGTGAGGGCTGGCCCTCCGAGGAAGAAGGGTTCTGTTCTCAAGCAAGAGATGTAGATAGGTGGATGGCCAAGTTGACGGGCAAAAAGCGAGCATATCCGCTAGGAATGGCTGATGTGAAGGGAGGCAACACCCAAACGGTTTTGAATGATTGGTGTGACGGATTGAGCGGTATTATGTTCGACCTAATATCGTCTGGAGGGTTGGGCGAGGGTTTCCCTGGAAGCGGTGATCCCATTGAGAGTGACGAGGAAGATATTCATGATAGTGAAGAAAACGACGAGAATGGCCGGAGCTTTCGGAACAAGCGTAAGGAGGAGCAGATTGTGGACCTTGAAGACATTAAGTTCGGCGTTACCGACGGCAAGGGAACATCTGCTGATCGTCAACTATTGCCTATCGATTTCACGACACAGTCCCACCCTCAAGCTTCAAAACCTGTGTCTCAGCCTCAGCTTGAAATGGTGCCCACCTCGTCACCCACCTTCACCGCACTGACAAAGCAAGGATATACAATAGTTGGCTCACATTCGGGGGTGAAAATATGCCGCTGGACCAAGTCTGCTTTGCGAGGACGTGGCTCTTGTTATAAAAATTCTTTCTACGGCATTAAATCACATCTTTGTATGGAGACGACACCATCGCTCTCTTGCAGTAACAAATGTGTATTCTGTTGGCGCCATGGAACGAACCCAGTTGGAACTACCTGGCGCTGGAAGGTTGATCCCCCAGATCTCATTTTTGACGGAGTAAAAGCGGGACACTACAAGAAAATTAAAATGTTACGTGGTGTCCCTGGTGTTCGAGCTGAACGGTTTGCTGAAGCCATGCGTATCCGACATTGCGCCTTGAGTTTGGTTGGGGAACCAATATTCTATCCTCACATCAACGAATTTCTCGCCCTCCTTCACAATGAACATATTTCTAGCTTCCTTGTATGCAATGCGCAACATCCGGATGAGCTTGCGGCACTTCATCGTGTCACCCAACTGTATGTCTCCATCGATGCAAGCAACCGCGATAGCCTTCGGAAAATCGACCGCCCTCTTCATCGTGACTTCTGGGAAAGATTTCAGCGCTGCCTCGACATACTACGAGAAAAGAGATACCTCCAGCGGACTGTTTACAGGCTCACGCTTGTCAAAGGCTTTAATGTGGATGAGGAAGCAGTTGGATATGCTGACCTAGTAGAAAAGGGTCTTCCCTGCTTTGTGGAAGTCAAGGGAGTAACCTTTTGCGGAACAAGCACGAGTGCTAGTGCTGGGATAACTATGCAGAATGTTCCATTCTACGAGGAAGTTGTTGCTTTTGTCGTTGCATTGAATGCCGAGTTAACTCGGCGCGGCCTTGGGTACGGTATTGCGGCTGAGCATAAACATAGCTGCTGTGTGCTGCTTGCGTCAAATCGGTTCTATGTCAACGACAGGTGGCATACAAGAATTGATTACGACAAATTCTTCACACTGCTGGAAAAAGAGAAGAACAATGGCATATCATTCCGCCCTGAAGATTATATGAGGGAAACTGATGAATGGGCGTTGTGGGGAAATGGAGGTTTTGATCCGAATGATACTCGTGTTTACACTCGAGGAAAAAATAAGGCAAAGTTAAATGCCGTTCTGAAAGCATCGGAGCAAAATGCCACTTCTGTTGAAGGCTGAGGGGTTACAGGCGAGGCGATTCAAAGTATTTCTTGATCTGTGCATGAGTTTTAGTGACTTGTGAGATGTCGATTTGAGAATGTCGCCTTTTGAGGGTCCACGAGGGATTTCTCGCTAGCTCCCACTTTCTGTTGTATGAGTGAGGTCCGGAATTTTCGCCCCTTAGCCGGAGTATAGTACTGGATGTCCACTTAATGTGCGAATAGCGACTATTCTATCAGGCAGCCCCTGGCCCACCGCTTTGACATCATCGGGAGCTGAGGCTTCAAGGCCAATTTATATTGCGACCGTCGCATGCTCGTTAGCGACCTTTTCCGGAGAGAAGAAGTGGTGAGCGATGGAAGTTGTTATAACGATCAGCTTCGGCGACAACTTGGTTGCGTTCACGAGTCTCCATTATTGAAAGCGATCTCTCTTTGATTCGAAACCATGTGTAAGCAAACAGGAGAAATTACAATATTACCTGTAAATAGGTACAAGAGACAACCAATTTAAACTAACTTCTCAATCCATCTCTGCTTTTTCTACCCTCTCAACTATGCAAAATATTTAGCTCCGAGTTTCGATCGGTATATCCTTCCGCTAGCCCTGGTAGCACACTGGGCTCGCCACCATCCAAACTTCAAGCTAATAATTTTCTCGGAAGTTTTTTGTGAAGCGAGCCACTATGGAGCTGCGTGTGCTGCGTGTACTATTCAGGACTCTGGTCGGCTTTCTTCCTCGGTTTGGGAAGGACATGATGGGTATTATATATCAGCCCGAGGAAGATGACAACAATACTCCACTCAAATATCCATTATCGAGAATAGAGGATGTTAATCTTCATTCACACGGATGGCGTATTTGCGTCACTTTAACATGTTTCTGATAGACAGCTAGAACGCGCGATGATTGACAATTGACAGGCATGACGAGATTCCCATCGCGCAGGGTTCGAACGAACTTGAAAGGATGAAACCATGTATGATTATCCCATACTTGTAGGTATCTATATCTATTACCCAAACTGAACGCCTAATAACTTTAACTCCAATGCTAAATATATCAATCAATACACTGAAGACTTATGCTTGGATTCAATTTCGCGAAGATTCCAGAGTGAAACTTCTTCTCTTCCCGAGTGTTTATACCGAGATCAACGGAAAGAGCCTTTGGCGCAGCTCCCGCCAAAGGGCCTGCTGGGTTAGCTGGCCCCGCTCAACTGCATCGCGATTCTCATCTGCCCGCCGCAGCAAGTACATCATACATTCCTCTATGGTTCCCCCTACGGCATATTTAAAGACCTGGATATCCTCTTCCATAACGTTCTGGACGATAGGGATGTATTGTCAGTTTGCCAGTTTATCCTTTTTTTTTTTTTTTTTTTTTTTTTTTTTTTTTTTTTAATCAACGGCAGCCCTGAAAGAGCCCGTGGGGCCAAGGGGGGGCATTTACCTCTCTTTTCTGTATGAGATTCAGAGACAGTTCGTCAGCCATGCCCATCAGCTGAGAATATACAACTTCTGCCAGGGGTAATTGTTCTTTCAACTGTTCTTGCCGCAGCTTTCGCATCATTTCCACGCTTTGCGCATTATGGGTGGCAAGCACCAATCCAACTTTGGGCGCAGAGGGACCACTAAGATGCTGCGTTGCCAGCATGTGTGCGGCATCGTTGTACGCGCGGTCCGTGTCTTCTCTGGTGTCGTGAATCAAGTGGCGTGGGTCGCTTTTGAGGTATGCCCCGCGAACTAGTTTTACACCTAAAGTGAATTTGCTGGAGCGTGCGCGCTCGAGGTGTCTTGCAAGAGTTGCGGTGGACTCTTTTAAGTACCTGCTTCCAAGTCAGCAATGCGAAACCAGGCATTCGAATTCGAGCAGTGCAGTGAGGCCACGGACATTTGATACGTGTTGTACACGACCAATCTTCCATCTTGGTTGTATTTTTCCATGAGATCCATGGTCCACGAGTCAATTCCTGCTTGCTGGGAGTGATGCTCGGCATCGATTAGCAACCTAACCCCCCGGGATTTAGCGGATTCGCAGATCTGGGTTACAGCTTCTGCCATTGTTGCATCTGGTGCCATTCCAGCTTCGAGCAACCGTACACATTCCGGGCCTGCACCTGTGAATTTTAACGCAACGAAGTCATCGGGATTTGAATAGCGAACCCCTTTGAGGGTTCCATCCAGCCACTGAGCAACGCGGCCTTGATGCTCATGTCTAGCTTCGCTGGCATCTTCAGCGACATTCAAGAGATCTACCTCACGAGCATATGATATTATCATGCCCTTGAACCCAAGTGCCTTGAGGTCCTCAACTGTCTTCTTGATCTCGGTTTCCGTGCTCCCCGCACAGAACTGTGCGTAGAAGAACTTATCCAGGAAGAATCTCAGCAGCATATTGCCCGTCAGCATTTGGATGTTGCGCTGAGCCAGGGCCGAGGCAGCGTCCACGATATACGGATGTGACATGGCGGCCTGCATCACGATACTCCTAAGCAGCGCCGTCAGAGGCACCCGTTCCATGTCACGATGACGCATGGGATACTCGTTGGGAGTGACTGGGTGAGGGGTGTCCCATGTTGCGCTTGTTAGAGTCCGCCGTGGCCGGGAGGCAGGCAGATGGATTGACCGGGAGGAGGGGATTGGCCGTGGAACCATATATTTCAAAGCGGTGATGCGGCAGGGAGAGCAGAGGCGTTGATGGACCATATTTGAGAACTTAGGGTTGAATATGGGATGATGAGCAAAGAGCGAGAGAGTGTATGTGTGAGAGGGAGAGGGACTGTTGGAGGGATCGCCGTGACTTAGGAGTAAATAATAAGAAAATAAATAGTTAGCCCTGGGGGCTCATAAAGCTGGCGCTCCAAGTGACAACGATACGGTCCTTTCTCTTTCTCTTTTCTTTCCCTTTCCTTTTTGTTTTTTCTTTGCTTATTTTCTTATCTTTCGTGTCTCTTCCTTTGTTTTTCTGTTTTCGCATGAGGGGGGTTGTTGAGAAACGAGTCGATAACCAATATTACCCGGCTGGTCTCGTTTGGCAGCGGAATGGGGCCACTGTGTAGCATCGACTAGGCGAGTATATCCGAGAATATGCATGGAATTCCAGGGTGGGGTCATGTGACCCCCCCCGTTGCTGATCCGGATCTCTTAGCAATTTGTGAGTGGGGGTTACTGCGGGGCAACCTTGGGGAAGTTGTTGATTTTCCATCTTAGACCCCATTTCTCGATGGTACGGAGTAACTAACAGCAATATACGGAGTACTCCGTATGAGATGGTCGGTTCTTACGTTGTCCAGTGGTGTAGAGCAACCGGTTCTTGAAAAGAGCTGTCTGGAACCCTGCTCACCGGAGGCTTGGGTTGGGATCGCGCTATGGACAGCTTATCTGCTTAGCGGGAGGGGGTTGTAGCTTGGCGCTGGGCGTTGTCTGGCGCCCACACAATAACAGCCACTCCACTAAAAGCTGCACTGACGCAACAAGTCTGATAGAGATTCAAAGTCGAGCATGGGGTTGGATACTGGTTGAGAATATAGGGTCGGGTTGGTGAGCTTACAGGAATAAAGAGCCTCCAGTCTATGGCAATTTAATCAACGTTTTTCAGGTCTCGGGGGTTCCTTATGACGGCCTGCCTGGCATTGGGGATGGGCGACAAAATGGGCGGGGCCCGGCTATTTCCAAAATTCCGAGGCCCGTGTGCCAAGTAATTAAAGCTTTGGTGGTGCCCTCAAATGCCCGCATCCTCCTCCGCTACGGATCTTCCTCCATGACGGCTGTTCGGTTCTCCCAACCTAGTTACATTCCATAGCTATGTACGGAGTGTATATATATATATATATATATTTCCCCCTTCCCCTTGGTATCGTTTTTGCAGTTCTGTTTCCAAATCTTTGGCATCCATCCTCTTTTAGTATTATATCTTCCCCCCCGATACGCATCCATACGCGGGCATCATGCACAGGCTGTGTAGACGCCAAACCCTCTCCGCAATCTCTCGGGTTTCGCCGAAGCAAGCCCGTCCCATTGCTTCCACCCCACAGTTCGCTCGTAGTTTTGGCAGTTTCGCAGGCTTCAAAGTTCCCAGAGCTCGGAATGAGCCAAATGTAGGTCAACCTAGTGAGAGGGGAGCCCATTTTTAGAGAGAGTTGTTTTACATTTTTACATTTTTTCCCCATCGGCTAACTGAAGATTATCCTACATATAGCCACAATATGGCAAAAATTCACCGGAGCGACTGGGCCTAGAGAACGCCTTGAAGTCCATGAAGCAAAAACTCCCTCTCCAGGTCCCCGCTATGATTGCAGGTCAAAACGTGAGTTAGTTTATCATCGCTACGATAGCAGTAAAAAAATGCAAATAATAAGAATAATAAAGAAGACGAAGAAGAAGAAGATGAAACCTCCAATGGCCTCGTTTGCTAATCACTTTATTTCTTTCAGGTTAAATCCTCCAAACTATCGCGACAGCCAAACCCATCGGCGCACGCTGAAGCGGTGGCTGAATATTATAATGTTTCAGAAGGGCATGTCAGCCAGGCAATCGAAGCTGCCTTGAATAGCAAGCCGGAATGGGAACGGCTTAGTTTCACAGACAGAGCAGCGGTTTTCCTCAAGGCCGCTGATCTTGTGGCCGGCAAATATCGCTACGATATCATGGCCGCCACCATGCTCGGCCAAGGAAAGAATGCCTGGCAGGCGGAGATAGATGCTGCTGCGGAACTAGCGGACTTTCTTCGTTTCAACGTACAGTACGCCGAGGACCTTTATGCGCAACAGCCACAGCACAACTCAAACGGTGTCTGGAATCGTATAGAGTACCGCCCGTTGGAAGGATTTGTCTACGCTATATCACCGTTTAACTTTACGGCCATTGGGGGCAACCTGTGTGCTGCGCCTGCACTTCTGGGGAACGTTGTCGTGTGGAAGCCATCGCCGTCGTCCATGGCTGCGAGTTATCTCACGTACCAAATCTTCCTCGAGGCTGGCCTTCCGCCCAACGTGATTCAATTCGTGCCTGGCGATGCTGAGATGGTTACCAAGGTTGTGCTTGGTCATAAGGAATTTGCCGCGCTCCACTTCACAGGAAGCAGTACTGTGTTCCGCTCATTGTATGGAAAGATAGCTCAGGGGATTGCGAATGGCTCCTACCGGAGTTATCCTCGCGTTGTTGGCGAAACGGGCGGCAAGAACTTCCACCTGATCCACTCTTCCGCGGATATTAAAAACGCTGCCACGCACACTGTCCGTGGCGCTTTTGAGTACCAGGGTCAAAAGTGCAGCGCAACATCTCGCGCCTATGTTCCTCAATCCCGCTGGGAGGAGTTCAAGTCTTTGCTGGTGAGTGAAACTGAAGCTCTCAAGTCTGGCCCAGCAGAAGATTTTGGGAACTTTTCAGGACCTGTGATCCATGAGACGTCCTTCCAAAAACTTGCTGGAGTCATCGATGCTGCATATATGGACTCTAGCCTTCAATTGCTTGTGGGCGGGAAATACGATGGCAGCAAGGGGTATTTCATCCAGCCTACTATCTACGTCACGAATGATCCTCACCACAAACTCATGTCTACCGAGCTGTTCGGCCCCGTCCTAGTTATCTATGTTTACGACGATACTAAGGCCCCCGCAGAGGCATTTGAGAAGGTCTGCCAGACCATCAATGCTACCTCAGAGTACGGTCTCACTGGATCAGTTTTTGCTGTGAGACGCGATGCTATCCGGTACGCGGAAGAAGCACTGAGGAACACAGCTGGCAATTTCTACATCAATTGCAAATCGACAGGTGCTGTGGTTGGGCAGCAGCCGTTTGGTGGTGGACGCCAGAGCGGAACAAACGATAAGGCCGGCAGCGCGGCCATTCTTAGTAGGTTCGTGAGCATGCGGTCGATCAAAGAGGAATTCTCGCCACTTTCCCAAGCGACGTACCCGAGCAACGAGGTATAATAAAGCTCTTCATCTTTTCTATTTATGTTTCCTCCGATAAGTTGATGCTTCGTATGAAGCTGCGAACTGGGCATCAAGCTACTGACGGTTCGAGCCGGAGAGTCCCTGAATAATGGGCTTCAGATCCCTGAGCTGCTACATCGCTGTAGTAGGCTGAAATAATTGGGGGCATGGATAGTTATTGCACCCAAGATGTTTGGTACCAGATTGTAGATTGTGGTGATGTCTAAAAGTATTCTAGATTAGTTAGGAGAAAGGCGCAGAGTAGATGTGCTAATAAGTGAAGAAGTTGGTGTCTGACATTCGACACACTCCGTGTTCTTTAGGCCGTAGAATTTTTCAAGGAGGGTACGAATTCCACATCATTGCGATTGGGATATTTCCAATTCCAATTCCGCCCCCAAAACAAAAAGTAAGAAACAAGGCAAAGATTGGCCAAAAAGTGACGAGAGTGGGATTCGAACCCACGCCCCTTTCGAGACCAGAACCTTAATCTGGCGCCTTGGACCGCTCGGCCATCTCGCCTGGCCACAGTGACGCAATGTTATCATTTTTTCATTTCTACTTTCTAAATTCAATTCAATGTTTCATCTTATTTTATTGATTGTCACTGTGGTTGACGCTATTTCAATTGATTGATTTATTTGAAGGGTTTTTTGATTCTAAGCTGAAATTGTATTTTATTATACAGAGCAAAACGAAGTTTAAATATCATTGAGAGATAAAAGTTACTTTGCTTTGTAGCTGAAATAATTAAATGTCAATTTTTACAACAATGTGAGTTAAATGTGTGATGAGTTAGCACTCATTAATAGTTAACTTGCACAATCAACACCTCACAACTCTGCTGTAATAGACGCAATGGAAATATCAGACTCTGAATCACAAATGAACTCAATTTCTCAAATTAGACAATACAAGTACCTTCAATTGATTTTTATTGTCTATGTTAATAACTGCTGCAAATTTGAAAAGATTTGATCAAGGTTTGAGAAAGATGTTTGATGAATAGTGATTTGACATTTGTAAAGGTGTTTTCTTAACAATTCATCAAGTTACTTCATCAATTCTTGATCAAATTAGCTCAAATTTGAATCAGTGATAGATTTATTTAGTACTGATAATCTGTGAAAGTTTTATATAAATTGACTGACAATTCACTGAGTTATTCTTGATTCTGTATTTGAGAAAACTCTTATCAATTTTTGTGTTTCAATACATTCATGTCAAGTCTCCTCCGAGTACCTCTCAGCTATATATGTCTGTTAAGCAACAAAAAGATACCTTGGCACAATTGATTAGTGCACATCTCATCAATTCAAATCTCTCAAATTCTTCAATTATCTTTTAAATCATCTAAAAATAAACAAAATAAAAGTGAAAATGTCAATATTTGAAACATAGCTTGATCTCTACAAATAATTTATACATACATATATAAATTATTATAAAGAAAAGCTTGAAGAAAAAGCAAACTTAATCACTGAGATTATTTTTTCAAGTGTAAAAAGTTATATTCCATTGAAAAGAGTCTTTGAATTCTCTAAGCCTTGGTGGAATGATGAGATTTCAAATAAAAGAAGATATTTAGTGTCACACCCTTGGTTGTACCAAGGCCCAGTGACGGCTTCTCACGGCCCATCGCTTCCCCTCGGATAATCCCATCTATCCTATAACGTCACGCAGGTGTCCGAACCGGTTTCTAACCACCCTATGACATCATTCGGATGCAATAGAAGAGGATCCGATTGATGGGATATGAGAATCCTATTTCTATACGGGGTCAGTGAATTCCTTCTGGCAGATCAATGCAGCGCCACTGCGGAGTTGCTTCGGCTACCCTCGCTCATAGAGTGAGGGGAGGATGGCTGCCCGTTGTCTATATAAAATAGCTAGATGCTGGCTCTCTATTTCAGGAGCCAGCGATTCGTCTTTTATCTTTTGACAATAAGATACCAGAGTTACCACTGTCCTCATACAATATTCTTAGTGTGCTGAGTACCTCTGGTAGTTCAGTATTTGTATAGTATTTTACGAGTTCGCGGTTCAAGCGAGATAATCAAGCCCACCCATAAGGCTTTCCATTATATACCATCCCCCTCTGTGCCGCTGCCGAGTAGCAACCGCCTCGGCGCCGTCACATTACATTTAGCTAGAGTTAAAAGAGATTGGAAAGAAAATCTTGCCTCATTCGAGTATTTAAAAAATATTAGAAATGATTATTTCTCGACAATTAAAAAAGCAAAGACTGATTATTGGAATAACTTTTTAGAAAATGCTCAGGGAAAAGAGATCTTCAAAGCTTTCAGATATACAAAGTCTAAAACAATGTCTAAGCTACCAACATTAACTTATAATTTTCAGAATGAGGAAATTATAGCTAGCTCATTTAATGATAAATGTCAAGCTTTTATGAGAATATTATTTCCATCATTAAATAATTCAACTGAGGTTTGTTCTTTGCAAGAAGATAATAAATATGAACATGAAAAGAAATGGAAATGGCCTCACTTAACTGAAGATGAATTAAAGACAGCAATTTTTTCATCTTCAAAGGTCACAGCAGAAGGAGCTGATACTATAAATCATTTAATAATTCAAGAGCTTTATTCAGTAATAAGAGATGAGCTCTTTGAATTGTTCTCAAATCTTTTGAAATATGGGTATCATCCTAAGTGCTGGAGGCATGCTGTTGGAGTTATTCTGTCAAAACCTAATAGAAAACCAACTATTACTAAATCTTATAGGGTGATATCTCTGCTGAATTGTCTGGGAAAAATTTTGGAAAAGATAATTGCAACTAGACTATCTTTTCTATCTACTACTACTGATTTATTATATGATGATCAGATGGGAAGTAGAAAGCAAAACTCAGCAATTGATGCAGTTCTCTCTGTAATTCATGATATTTAACTTGCAAAGAATGAAAAAATGGTTACAACTGCAATGTTTATTGATATAAAAGGTGCATTTGATTGTGTTTCACTTTCTCAAATGATTAAAACTTTGATAAAACTGAGAATGCCAAAGTCTCTCATTAAGTGGGTTATCTGTTTCATGTCAAAAAAGAACTATTTAGTTGCTTTTTGATGGAATGAGATAACATATAATAGATATTGAGATAGGAGTTCCTCAGGGTTCCCCAGTCTCACCCATTTTATTTGTTATATTTATCAAGTTTCTGTTTATTGATAGACAAATGGCAATTATAGTGAGAACTCCAAGCTATGTGGATTATTTGGGTCTAGTTGTAAGATCAGAATCAATTGTAAATAATTGCAATTTGATTGAGCAAGCAGCAACTGAAATGATTGAAAAAGCAAAATCAAAAAACATCATTTTTGATATAGATAAAACTAAATTAATTCACTTTTATCCAAATTTCAGAGAAAGAGATACTGAAGTTAAGCTTTTAAATCATTCAGTTAAACTAAAAAATTCAGTTAGATGGCTTGGTGTCTGGTTAGATTCTCAGTTAAATTTTAAATCTCATGTTCATATCAATGTTGCAAGTGCTGAAAAAATCTTAAACAGTATTTTAAAACTTTCAAATACTGAGAGAGGCTTTTCTTTTCAAGCAATGAGACAATTATATATTGCTTGTATAACCTCTGTTTCAGACTTTGCAGTTCAAATATGGTGGAAAAATCAAAAGAGTTTTATAAAGAGGTTTCAAAAGCTTCAAAATTTAGCTTTAAGAAAAATATTGGGGGTATTTAAAACCTCTTCAATTAAAGCCATGGAGATTGAAGCCTCTCTATCACCACCACGGGTGAGATTTGATAAAATCTGTATGAATTATGCTCTTAGAATTATGAAGTTATATCCCAATCATTCAATTAGAAAAAGAGTCTCAACTTCTTTTCCAAGTGAATCAACTGGAGTAGATGTAAGAGATGGGCTACAAAAGTAATTACAAGAGTAGTGTGAAGTACGCACAAAGGATATTAAGAAGGTAGCAATCTCTATTGTTCAAAGCTAATCGCTGATCTCCTAAAATCTACGGATATCAGCGAGCATTATATAGATAATATTGCCATCGCCACGTATCTATTTTCTAATATAGATATCTCCGTTGCGCCTATTATAGTAGATCTGAATTGAGATGTAAGCAGCGATGTTGGAAATGGCTGCTTATATTCCGGTTGGTCCTTAAGACTCTACAAGGATCAAGCAGTAGGAGATAATACGGTGATATATCGGAGAGGATTCAGATCAAGTAGTTAGATATTGAGGGTGTAGAACGTAGGGGTCAGATTATAACAGAATGATCCGCTGGTCCTTAGAAGGTTGGACCAGCTGCTAGCTATATACACACAGTATTGTAAGCAGATCGAACTTGCTATGATGTAGATGGCGTAGTATGATACAAGTGGTAAGATAATGCCTTGATTTCAAACCTGATATGACGTTGGTGGAGCTATGTTCGGCGATGTCATATCCTGATATGACGTTGGTGGTTGTTATGTTCGGCGATGTCATATCTTTAAGGCTATCGCTAATTCCGGCCTAGCACTGGCACCTTAGTGCGGGTTTCTTACATGAGAGTCATATTTTAATTGGAATGAAATAAATTCATCTGATAGTTCAACATCTGTGCAAAGAAAGAAGATACCATCTCAGTTATTTAAAATTTGCTCCATAATTAAAAACAGTTTCTCTAGTTTAAATGTGGAGAAAGTGGTCTTTGAAAATCTCTCTCCTTAGAAGAAAGATCTTGTCAGTGTTATTGATTTAAATATTAGTCAACTTTCAAAAGAAGTTCAGACTGAACAACATCTAAATCTTTTAAATAAATGAGAAACAAAGCAATTCTTATATACATTGATGGCTCAAAATGTGAGAAAACAGGCAATCTTGGAGCTGGAATAGCATATTCAGAAAATGATAAAAACTATATTTTTGATTCTTGGCAAATTGGAAAAGAGTTAGAAGTTTTTAATGCTGAATTATTTGCAATTTGAAGCATTCAAATTGGTTGAGATAAAGATTAAACAATGGAAAAGATTTGAGCATATTTGGATATTCTCTGATAGTCAAGCTGGGCTTAAAAGGCTTCAAAGTAATAAAATCAGCAGTGGATAGTCAATGCTAGAGCTGATTTTGAAAAGTCTTCAAAATATTCAAAGAAAAATCTCACACAATTATTCTATTCATCTTCACTGGGTGCCTGCTCACATGGGTATATATGGCAATGAAATGGCTGATAAAGCTGCAAAAAAAGCTACTGAATTGGAAATCTGCTTTCAAAGAATTGTAACATGGGCTTATATTAAGAGAAAAATAAAAGAATTATGTTTGCAACAATGGCAAGATATCTGGTTTTTACAAAAAAAGAGTGTATATTATTCCAGGTTTGAAACTAAGCCAAAATGGAAAGCTTGCTCAATAAAATGTAAAAAGAAACTTTTTGCTACAATAAGGCAGCTAAAGCTTGGACATGGTTATTTTAAATCATATTTAACAAAGATTAGAAATGATTTAAGTAATTTATGTTCAGATTGTCAATTATATGAAAACTCAAAGCATCTTCTTTTACTTTGTACAAAGCATACAGAGTTAAGATTGAGATTGAGAGAGAAGTTTGAATTGACACAGTTAAATTTAAAACTTTTGTTCAATACAAAAACTGGAAATGAATTTTTGATTGAATATTTGAAAGAATCAAATATTGCTACAAGATTTCAATTGAATAGTTTGATCTGATAATGAATTCAATTTTTGTTTTTCTTTTTTTTTTCTTTTTTTTCTATGTATTTGCTTTAATTTTTTTTCTTGTGTTTATTTTTATTTTGTTACTTTTGCTTTGAAATTTATTTCATTTTGATTACTTTTAATTTTGACTTGTTTTGAAAAGTTTGATTTGTGAATGCTTTCTTTTCTTTTAATAGCTGCTGTTTTTTATACTCTTTATTTCATTTGTTTTGAATTGAATATATTGATCTGTTGTCATTCTTTTGACATTCTTTCTTAAATTGAATAGTTTGAATAGTTGTTTGATTCTGGGCTGGAATTCTATTATTGCATGTATTAAATTGACTTTGTATATTAGCTTATTCTTAAGTTGAAAAATCTTGGAGTATTTCATGTAGATGTTATAGTCACTGACTGCATACATCTATAATGGAAGAATAATAATAATAATTATAAAGCAAAAAAATGCAGATATAATTTTTTGATTTCTCATTTAAATATTCATTTCTTTGAAAACTTAATAATCAATTTATTAAAAGTTAGTCAGTAAAATAAAGTGATTCAATTTAAATAAAAAGAGATTTTATTTAATATTGAAAGTTTTTAATATTTTAAAAATATAATTTAAATTGAAATGAAACTTAATTTAAGCAAAAACTTTGATAAATTTTTTATTTAAAAAAAAGATAAAGTTTGAAAGAAATAAAGTATTTTCTCTGTTTTAATTCTTCATATAACGATGTGACGGTTAGGCGGCGGCCGGAGGCGGGTTTTCACTGCTGCTTTTCGGCCTTCTGCTAACCGCCCAACCTCAGTAATCACGTGAATCTATCCCCACGGCCGCGACCCTTCCCTCCACGCATGGCCACGATTTTTGTTCTGCATTTTGTGGCTTCTGGTCAATCACCCTCGCTCACCCACTACCCTTCTTTTGGGGGGAGGCCGTAGTAGACGCAATACTCAAACGGCTGAATACTCCCCCCAGGGCCGTATTGTTCGTTCAGCTTCCCTCCCCCAGCCCATGTCCCCATTAGCCTCCTCCTCACGCTCTTCTCCGGCCGCACCACGCTTAACAAGATAACATCTTGTACATGATCGCTCCCCAACCTTTATCGTACGTTCATACACGTCTTCCCTGATACAAAAACACCCTCTCCTGGGTTCATCTAAATAACGCGCCTTCGCTCTTTCAATAGCATTCTCCCTGATCCACAAATGCTGTTTCCCCTACCTTACGAAAAGGATTGATCGCGGGGAGCGCGAACCGCTCTGCCAAGGCTAAACGTATACGATGAAGGGCGTAGCTAACATG